GTTTATATGTGTGGAATTGTTTAAGCATTCAGATGCATTAAAAATGATATTGTTCCATTTAATAGACGCTAAAATAATTTGATATGAGACTAAAACGCTTTTCTTAGGTTAATGCATTAAACAATCCTTTTTTTTTATTCGATTCCTGAGACTATCAGCTATACAATGATGCAAAAATATTTGGAGAAAGTTTAAGAATAAAGAACAGGATAATGAAGAAATCATGACGCTCGTCGGGTGTTTCTGTTCTATTTAAAAGTAATCATTCTAATTTTCTCATCTCTTTTATTTATAGAGGTATTGAGCCCCAAAACACCTTTGTGCAGTGTCTGAACACTTATTGCGAACACTGCAGATGTTTGAATCGCTAAAAAGTGGCAAGATAGATATGCTAAGAAGTGCCGAGATGTGCTTAGATAGACAGAATGAATAATATCTCATCAAACTTGAAGTATATCAAAAAGAAAACGAACATATGACAACGTGTTTCTTCATTCTATCTATTTTATCTTTTTCTTTCTCCGTTCTATAGAATTGAAGCATACGCATACATTTGCTAAGAATTGCCAGTAAAAGAAAAGGAAAGATATGGGATTTGATACATTTCTATTCGAGCGTACACTCATTTTTTTATTCAGAGGAGAAGTTAATAGTAGTCACGTGATTATTTCTTACATTGTACTCTTGATCTCTTCTTCATCGTTTTATACTCTTTTCAGTGTATATTTTATTATTATTTTCTAAAATATTTTTCCTATCAAGTGGCATCATTTTAACAAGACAGGTGAGTGCATTGCGCCTTCTCGTCTTTCCTTGGGAGCAGGAAGAGTTTAACATCAGAAGTCAGTGGTCCAGGAACGAAAGGTTAGCATAGTACTTTTGCTTTAACATGTAATGTCTGGCACAAACGTATAAGTCCAAACAGCGTTTAGAAAGTATTTTCCTTCCTAGTCTCTGAATATAACAAAAAACAACCGAAGAAGGATCCTTCTTATTTTTTCTCTTCGGAACAAAAACAATGCTCATCATCAAGTCGCCGACCATGAAAAATACGTTCAGTAAATGAATTCATCGAAATTGCTGGAGAAACAAAAGAGTGAACGGATTAAAACGTACCGGCTGTTAGCAGTCTTAAAAAATGATTTATATTGTTTTTAAATACTTTTTTCGCCTTAAAATCAAGCAAGTAGTAAGTGCTTAGTACATAACACATTTATATGCTTTGACACGTTTGTATAATTAGAGCGTGTTTCTATAGGTACAGGCTCATAATGGCTATATTTTTTACGTTCTCTCTCTTTTTTTCTTCTTTTTCCAAAAAGTGCGCTTTATAATCTGGACTATGCGTTAGAATGAATAAAAATATGCAAGCTGATTTCTACGTGAGCGCAACCATTACACTGCAACTGCATAGATGTTTATCTCTTTAAGCACCTAGGATGTGGGCATTTTTGAGAGCTCACACTGAGTTTTTTCACATAGTAACGCTATTTTCTATCCGTTAACAGCTGGTACGTTACTTAATTCGATACATTCCGATACACTCAATGGCTCGGCGACCTGATGGTCACAGTAGAATGGTGTTCATAAATCAGCTTCATGATAATACAGATTTGTGTGCGTTTTTTTGTTAGAAAGAAGAAAATTGTTTTTTTCAATCTTTCGCTGACAGAGAAGGGAGAAAGAGAAACGTCCCATAATTTAATACCAAAAGCATGAGCGTACAAGACTAAAACAAAGAAGGAAAAAGAGAGCTTATGTCAGTTAATTTGATATAGAATGTTTTCTCGTTTTCTATTTGTGCACAAGTCAAAAATTTTTACATTCAGAGATGGATAAGACACGATTACCAGTACTAACTGGAGGATGTCAATGTGGAAATATTCGTTATGCTCTATTTGCAAAGCCGGAGAAATTTGACGTATGTCACTGTCGTATGTGTCAAAAGGCCGTTGGTGGCCCATATGCTGCTCTAGCCGTTAGCTCATTGAGCAACTTTGCCTGGACACGTGGAACACCGTCGTCATTTGCCAGTTCATCGATGGCCACTCGTGGTTTTTGCTCTAATTGTGGTACACCATTATTTTACTTGAATAACAAAGATGAAAGTATCGAACTAACATCGGGCAGTTTTGATCGACCAATTGACCTAGGACCACCACGGACTCAAACTGGTATTGAAAATTGTTTGAAATGGGCTGTTATCAAAGATTTGCCGACAAGATCAACAGATGAAATTAAATATCCACCTGCAGAAATGAATAATTATCAACATCCGGATCACGAAACATCGGACAGTGAGTGGCGCAAGATATCCGAGAAAAAGCATTATGAACTGAAATAAATGTTATGTTGAACTCGGTATTTTCGCCTCAGTTTATTATTCTTTAATGATTTTTGATAAAAAATGCAATAAATAAGAAAAAAACAACTGAGTTACAACTAACGTCAAGAATGATATGCGTACCAAAACTGTTTTTCTCAATAAAAATGCATTCGTTTTGGGCATCTAAACTTTTTTGGCAAATTAAAATCAAACTTGAGTAACTAAAATTACGTTTAGTAGGGGCACAACAATGGGGAACAGAATTCATAGGTTTAGTGCCGGTCTTAGTTTCAATATGATGTTTCAAGACATTAGTCCTTTCTATTTTAGTAGACAAGACTTTTGGAAACCGATGGATAAGCTGCGCGAGTTTGTTTTTCTCTTTTAATGAAACATCTGTTTCTGATAGATCCAAACAAGAATCAGACGAGTTTTTTCCATGACTTCTGATCAAGTCTGTCTTTTTTGTTGTATATGCATTTTAATTAGGAAAAAAAAGAGAATATGTAAAACACTAAGAGTAACATAAAGGTTTGGATGCGTTAGACTTGTTGATTGCATTCAAATAACTCATAAGGTATATTTTTCAATTATGGAAAACAGAATACTTTGATTTTCATTTGAATACCTTATGTCTTATGTTTGTTGGACTTTTAAAGAAATGTGAATTTCAAAAATCTTGAAAATAGTGTTTAACCCCTTCAAAGCCTAATATCTGTTTGAATGGACATCGGCATTATTATTATTATAACAAACTAAGAAAGCATTGTTTGAAATAACTGATCTTTAATTTTTTTAATTTATTTTTTCCGCGTACTGTAGGAAAGGTTTTTTGTTCAATGACTTTTCAGAAATCTGTAGCGAAGTGTGCTCTTTCAGATTATATCAGTTGAATGAATTATTGTTGGAAACTGTAGGCTCCTGATGATACAAAACGAAAGATCATATTTTACTAGAATTTCGGGCTCCGTTTCTTGATCATTCTTGATTTTCTTCACCATCTAAATTCATTTTCTGCCTCAACTTCGTCAAACATAATGGCTAAACTTAGATACCTTTGGTTTCTAACGAGAATTTTCGAAATTATAATTTTCTTCAAATTTTTATTGTAAATTTAATTTATAAAAACTTAACTTTTTTAAAAATGAAAAATAATTTTTTTCGGTCTCACGACATTTGCCCCGATGCTTATATCTCCACGAAAACTCTGTTTTTTGCACTGAAATTACAGTGTGAAATTAATCTTTCTAGTTCGAGAATCACGTTGTTGGAAAAATATCAAACAATTGCACATAAATGTCAGATTTGGTATTTTGTTTTATTCATCTTACTTAATGGCATCGGTATACGCTTGTGGGTTATTGTTCATTGAAATTTTCTTTCGTCTTGCGCTGTAAATTTCAAAAGAAGAGTGATTCATTTTAAATTTCAATTAAAACACGCGCAATGAAACTCAGAACGAACGAAACATTTTGTAAAAATCTGAGATGAAAAAATGAATGTTTAAAAGCAATTGTGTCCTCTACCTTTTACATTCAGAAGTAAGTACAATTTTTTGAACACGTGCTTTTCGAAAGAATAGTGTAGGTTTTATGGTAAACCGCGCTTTTCAACTGCCACTTCATCATATTCACCATCTGTTCTGCCCTCTTTTTACGTTTTTGCTGTGACAAGAATCCTTATAAGAAAAGTCGGTTTCTTGCACCATGAAAAAAGCAAAAAAGAGTGTTAAAAAACCGGTCAAAACACACATTATAGAACTAAACCGATCTTCAGCACTATCCCAAAACTCCAAAATGGTTTGCTCTGGCGACGAGAAAATCAAAATTTGACTCTTACAAATATTTTTCGGTATATCTTTTTTGACTCTCTAGAAATGAAAGTACAAGTTTGTTGAGAGTTTTGTTTTGACGAGGAATCCTGCCTAAATGATACCTTCCAATTTCGTTCGTTTATACGTCGATCGATAGAGAGTATCGAGCTAGTAAAAAGGTCTAAAAGAATTTTCTCTCATAACTCTTGAAAACCAAGTTTTCTGGAAAACCAGTTTTCAGAAACTCTAAAAAATAACCAGAACTTTTCTTAATGAGGCATAATTATAGCCCGCACATTTCTGATTAAGATGAAACATCTTTCAGCTCTACACAAGAACAGCTACACTCAGCTTTACAAGAAATGCCCTAAATTAATTTCTTCTTCTTTTTGTAGTTTTGGACCGACAATGAACATTTAGGACTTTTCTTGTAAATTCTATAAGTTTGCAAAGAAAGGTCGTGTAGAGTTGCGTGATGTCTCATTTTAATCAGAAACTTGCGGGCTACAATTATACCTCTTAAAGAAAGGTTTGGTTATTTTTTAGGATTTCTGAAAATCGGTTTTGCAGAAAACAGGGTCTTCAAGAATCATGGGGGAAAATCCTTTTAGGCTTTTTACTAGCTTGATACTCTCTATCTATCGACGTATGAACGAACGAAATCGGAGCGTATCATTTAGATAGGTTTCCTCGTGAAGAAGTTTCTGTTTTCATTTCTGTTTGATAAATTGCGCTGTAACGTTTCTGTTTCAGAACCAAAAATGAGTAGTTTAGTTAACGAAAATATTACAACTGTTGAACAACTAAATGCGACAGAAAAATTAGAATACGATCATGATAAAGTTGCAAATATTACATTTAATTGTGAAAAATTCATGAACGAACCTAATCCTTATCCAGAAATGTTATTCGCTATTCAAACAACTATCAAAGAATGTATTGATAGCAATTGTCTTGTTTCTTCTCCGAATTTATTAAAATCATTAAGTGAATTTATTCAGGAGAAACTTTGCATCAAGATATTCCTGGATAATAATTCCAGTTATGCTCATCAAATATTTAAAATATATTTTGACACTCTTAATATATCAGCACTGATCATCAATTTACAAAATGAGTGTTATAATCATTTGATCGAGATAATTGTCTATGTCGTTACCGAAGCTTGTCTGTACATAAGAGTGACTAACAACGATATTCACGATGAACAACTACTATTCGTAGCCATATTGAATTACATTGATAACTTAATCGAAAAATCATATCTATTTCTCGAGTTAATATGGAATTTAACTGACGAAACAATCTTGATTCCAAAATTTACTCAGACTGGTTATCCACAAGCTGTTCTGAAATGGGTTAGAATAGAAAACTTAACAAGCAAACTATATATTAGTCTTCTTAATATTATACATAATCTTGCTCGACATGATGATGGTGCGGATGAATTGAGCAGATATGATGGTATCAATATACTAAAAATGTTACAGACAAAATCAATTGTACAAACGGATAACGAGATGTCATTGTTATGTTCAATGTCATTAGCACTCATCTCCACACCAGAACAAATTAAAAATAATAATCAATTTATGAATAAAATTCTTGATCAATTATTACAAACTGTAATTGATGCATCATTGAGCGACGACTATTCGGATAAAGAAGGCTATCATATTTCGGAACCATTAGCAGTGTTTGTTCAACTGTTCATTGATGATCATATTCTAGATTATGTTTTGCAACATCAAGTTCCAGTTATTATTTTATCAAGCGTACAATTATTTTCGAATTTATTGATTCGATTTTGTAGTTTAACAGACAATGACTTAAAAGCACAATTAACATGTTTAGCGCTCTTTAATATTCTGTGGAGTATATCATTTCATGAAGAATACAAAGAAGAATTGCGACAAAATATCAGACTTATCGGTATAATCAAAAATTATGATGGTGTTATGAATATTCAATATACATCGAAACATATGGCCAATGTTAAGAAAGCCTCGGATGGTATACTTTGTAATATTCTCGGTGAAACTACTCTTATGTCAGAAATAAAAACAAATGCTACGAAACCAGTGATAATGATTAGCTATTCCCATGCTAATGATATGTTTTGTAGAACAATATTCGATCATCTACATCAGCGACAACAATTTAATATTTGGATTGATTTTCTTCATTGTCGAACAGGTGATCTATGGGAAGAGATAGCTAATGGAATGGAACGAGCTCAGGTTATCTTATGTTTATTGTCTGAAAGTTATTTTCAAAGTAAATCTTGTCGACAAGAATTTACCTATGCGACTGACGGACTGAAAAAGCCAATAGTGCCCGTTCGTATTGAAAATTTTACTCCAAAAGGATGGCTTGGTGAGTAAAACAAAAAAGAAATATTGAAAAGCCATTAAAGACGAAAGATCAATCATTTTCTCGTCGAAATGCTGTATAGACCGGCGAGGAATGAAGCACACTTACTTTGTCCGAGAGGTACTTCCCTTGTATTAAACTTACAAGGGAGGTATCCTAACTGATCAATCGCTTTTTTCACCGAACCTAGTGTGTTATAAATTATCGATCACGTTGATTCCGAATATCCATACGAACCGAGCTGCTAGGCCTTCCTAGAGCGGTTTTAGTTTTCCAGAAACTCCAGAAAATTTCTGAAACTTTTTCTTAATAAGCTGGGATTGTAGCCCGCGCATCTGATAAAAAATGAGGCATCCCTCAGCTCTACACAACCTTTCTTTTTTCTTTGCAAAATTACAGAATTCACAAGAAATGCTCTAAATTCCTTTTTCTGTCTATATTTCTGAGTTGTGACAATGAACATTTAAGGCTTTTCTTGTAAATTCTATAATTTTGCCAAGAAAGATCATGTAGAACTGGGGGATGTCTCATTTTGATCAGAATTTCGCGGGCTACAATCATGGTTTATTCAGAAAAAGTTTCAGAGATTTTTTCAAGTTTTTGGAAAACTGGTTTTTCAGAAAACCGCTCTAAGAAGATCTAGCAGCCTGTCTCATATGGATATTCGGAACCAGCGTGATCGATAACCTATAACACACTAGGTTTGTTGAAAAAAGTAATTTATCAGTTAGGGTACTTTCCTCGTTAGATCAATATTGTTTGTGTTACAGGGATAAGAACCACAAACATGAAATATGTTCGTTTTAAAAATCCACAACAACCTGAAAATAATAAAATTTCAGAATTAATTGACATGATTTCAGCTACACTATTATCAGAAGATACTCCTAATTCGCCAGCGTCTGAACAATGTCAAAAATCGAGTATAACATCAGTCGACAGTCATTCGCAGTTATTACAAGAAACACCAAGCGATAATTATACTATTAATCAAGAATCTGTCGATACATGGAGTATAAATGATATTACTCAATGGTTCGATCAGAATCATATTTTATCTGAAATAAAAAATTTATATCAATTTCAAAATGGTACAGAAATGTTACTTTATTCTGAATTTTTACTTCCAGACAATGAAGAATGGAAAAATCAATATCGACGTTATTCTCTACGGTTTAAAAAAAAATTTGGCGATGCCGAATTACCCGAACATGAATTTGTAAGATTTGTTGTTGCCATGCGTCGTTTATATCACACTGAATGGAATAAACAACAAATAGTTCCATCATGTACGATCATATGAAATAGACGCGAATGATACTTTCCTTATATCTGTCCAGTCTGAAAGTTTTTGATAAAAGACAGATACAACTCAAAATAAATTTCACTTAAAGTTTGCGTTATCTGCGCCTTACGAAAAGACATTTTTTTCCAACACGCGTCACATATTCGGATTTAGCGCATAAAATTGCATTGAACTATATATAAAACAGTTGATTGCTTAGAAAAAGGCTTTGTACTCTCAAGGCCAATTTTTCGACAAAAAATAAGTTGAATTTAATCGTTCATATCACCGGACTTCGAAATTTTCAAATGCGATTAGAGTCCGGGGGATCCCCCGGCCTCTAATCGCATTTGAAAATTTCGAAGTCCGGTGATATGTTTGGTTATGTCGCATGAATAATGTAAAATCGTCATGATTAAAGTCTTACTATGTATGTTTAGATGAATTGTTTTATGATGATTTAAACTGGTTAAGTACTGAATCGAACAACATGCTGTTTCTTTAATATGTGTCTATTTTTATAGGATAATGATTTTTTTGGCACAAAGCGCGGAAGATGTCGCAAATTAATGGTCAGTCGCAGTATTTCACCTTATTATTTTGTGAAGAAGTAATAGCGAAGAAATAAAATCTATACTTTCATCGTTACACGATAGCATTATCGTAAAATCGACTTTTTATACGCTGAGCGCACCCTTCGCCTTTCGAGACAGACGAGAGTCCTTCAACGTAAAAGAGACGGTGCCTTCTGTAAATCGAAATACAAAAACCATCCTCCTCGGCTATTTAAAATTTACAAAAAATTTAGAAACTTGTCAATTCAATCTGTTCATAGAGATAAAAACAGGTTATTTCTATCAATAATGAAAACATTTTCATGTAGTAAACGTTTCTGGACACATATAAATAAATACAGGAATACAGAGTGTGATTTACCCGTCACCCTTAGACATAACACTACTCTTGCAACTGATGATCAGTCTAAAGCACAACTGTTGTCGGATTACTTTGAAACTAATTTTGCTACAACTCAAGGACCTTCACATTTATCTCCCTCAATCTCTACTAATGTAACTTCTCAATTGTTGTGCGATGTCAAATTCGATGTAGCTGATGTTTTTACCTCTATTTCCAGTTTAAAAAATAAAAGTTCTGTTAGAATTGACGGTATAACTATAAAATTTCTTAAAATTTCTGCCGATATAATTGCTCCTCAGTTGCACCATATCTTTTCCTTATTTCTTCAAGGTGGTGTTTTCCCTTCTTTATGGAAACAATCCTTAATCAAGGCCATTCACAAAAAAGAAAGTAAACTTTTAGTCTCTAATTACAGACCAATCTCGTTGATTTCCAATGTCAGTAAAATTCTTGAAAAATTAATTCATAAGCACCTGCTTTCGTTCTTGACATCTACTAACTTTTTCTTGTCTAGTCAATTTGGTTTCCGACCTAATTAATCTACGATCAACCCTCTACTCTTAAGAGACGAATCGTGAGGAGAGCAAGAAAGGCCGTAACATGAAATTTTTTAACATATACTTTTTATTATATTTTTGGATTCTACAATCAAAACTAAGGTTATGAAAAAATTATTAGCCTTCCA